TTAGTTGTGTCTTATATATGGTATACACTATCACTTCAGTCAGTTCCACCAGGTCAGCCCGACCTGAGATTTTAAGGTTTACCTACATTCAAGTGACAATTCCACAAAAGCTTCTTCTCATGGAAAGTTACTTTTGTAGATCCAGAGACTGAACTCCTTTTCTGGTTTGACATCATAAGATGCAGTCAAATGTCATGGCCTCAAAAACCATCCTTTTATTAAAATAGCCCAGCTTGTATCTAATTAATGTATCATGGAAAATGATTCTCTAGATCTACTTTTAGAAACAAGCAGGAACAAGATTCTGGTTCTATGTGCATAAGATTCTGAAAAATGCAAACTAGTCTATATGACAAAAAGCAAATCAGTGGTTACATGGAGAAAGACAGGATTACAAAGCGTGTTAAGGAAACTTTGGAGTGACAGATAATTAATTATCTTGATTGTGGTGATCATTTCATAGGTGTATACATAATATTCATGAATTGTGATCTTTAAATATATGTAGTTTATTGTATACCAATTATACACAATTAAGCTGGTGAGTGCTGGGTATATAAACAAAGGAGGGAATTTAGTATATGGAAAAGATATTTGCACTCTGATGTTACTGCAGCACTATTCAAATAGCCAAGATTTGGAATGAACCTAAGTATCCATGAATAGATGAATGGATAAAGAAATCATGGTACTATACACAATGGAATATTATATAGCGATAAAAAAGAATGAAATCCTGCCATTTGCAACAATATGAATGGAACTGAAGAACATTATGTTTATATGCTTAGGTGAGATAAGCCAAGCATAGAAAGACAAATTTCAATGTTCTCACTCATATGGGAGAGTAAATGTTAAAAACAATGATCCATGGAGACAGGAGTAGAATGATGGTTAACAGCTGGGAGTAGCAAGAGGAGGAATAAGTGGGGATGGTTATGGTGCAAAAATATAGTTAGATAGAATGAATAATATTGACAGCACAACAGAGTGACTACAGTCAACAATAAGTTATGGTATACTTTCAAATAATAAAGATGAATTGGAATGCTCCTAACACAAGAAATAATAAAGGCCCAAGGTGATAGATACCTGATTAGCTAATTTGATTATTCTCATTGTATACCTGTATCAAAACATCACACTTGCCCTATAAGATATACAACTATTATGTGCCCATAATAATTAAAATTTTAAAGAAAAAAAAAAAAAGCTGGTGAGGCATGGGAGAGGAGGGAGGTTAAAAAAAAAAGCCAACCCCCCAAGAAAAGAATTAGACTAGACTCCATTACTGATATAAATGACAAGATGGCAGACCAGGTAACTGACTACTCTTCTAATGAAAGTAACTGGTTTTATTCTGACATCCTTAAATGCATCAAAGATCTGACAGAACAAAAAGAATTAACCAAAAAATTAGACAACTGCATCATGGGATAAACTTAGCATTGAAGTTTTATATTACTCTGAAGGCCTGAAAAACGTGGTAAATTTAAATTTGGATGTCAAGGCCTTGAGGGTCCAAGGTAATGGTAAAGTAGAAATAAACTCCCAGCCCCATCCCAAGAAATGCAAGGAAAAGTACCTTTCAGAAACTTGGTACATAATGTACATTCACACAAAAGAGGGAGGGAGAAAACTACAAATACTGATTACTACAACTATGTTAATTATTAAGAATAGCAAAAATAAAAATAAATAACTCAGCATATGTATCTCATAGACTATCTTAATAGTGTATAATTATTAACTAAAAAGTTCTACCTATTGTATAAAATGATACAAAATAAGATCTACAATTTATATTGTTTGGATCTCCTCTGGCTCAGGATCTTACTCCCACCCCAACCTTATTCAGGGTCATTCCTTAGTCTTATCTCCACTGGATCTCTTACATTTCCCTTTGAATAGGGTCACTGTCTCCCATTTTGAAAACAAAACAGACCTTTTTCAGCCCCTGTCTCCTTGTCAAAACCATCCTCACTTTACACTGACCTTTTCAGCTTCCTCACTTCCCTCTAAATCCTCAAACCACTCCGAGCTGACAATTTCTGCCTCCCTACCTCCGGGTAAAATAAATAAATATATAAAACTCTTGTTGAATTACTGGTGACTTTCAGGTCACTCAGTCCAATAGACCCTTTTTTTTCATCCTTTTACTTGGACTTTAAGCTACAATTCAGCCCTGCTGACTTTCGCTTTCTCCTCATTAGAAGCTGGATTTAAAAAGACAAAATAAGAACACCTGGACTTGAGGTGATACGTATCCTTAACAAGAGTAAGAAGATACACAAGCTGAAAATATATTGCCTCATCAATATCCTCTGCAGAATCTCAGGCTGGTCTTCTATCCCTAAGCTTGGAACCTTGGGGTATCACTGGAGAGCCAACAGGGCAGGATTTAGGTTGTGTCTTATATACGGTATACACTATCACTTCCAGTCGGTTCCACCAGGTCAGCCTGACCTGAGATTTTAAGCTTTACCTACATTCAAGTGACAATTCCACAAAAGCTCTCTTCTCATGGAAAGTTACTTTTGTAGATCCAGAGACTGAACTTCCTTTTCTGGTTTGACATCATAAGATGCAGTTAAATGTCATGGCCTCAAAAACCATCCCTTTATTAAAATAGCCCAGCTTGTATCTAATTAAAGTATGTATCATGGAAAATGATTCTCTAGATCTACTTTTAGAAACAAGCAGGAACAAGATTCTGGTTCTATGTGCATAAGATTCTGAAAAATGCAAACTAGTCTATATGACAAAAAGCAAATCAGTGGTTACATGGAGACAAGACAGGATTACAAAGCGTGTTAAGGAAACTTTTGGAGGTGACAGATACATTAATTATCTTGATTGTGGTGATCATTTCATAGGTGTATACATAAATATTCATTGAATTGTGATCTTTAAATATATGTAGTTTATTGTATACCAATTATACATCAATTAAGCTGGTGAGTGCTGGGTATATAAACAAAGGAGGGGAATTTAGTATATGGAAAAGATATTTGCACTCTGATGTTTACTGCAGCACTATTCACAATAGCCAAGATTTGGAATGAACCTAAGTATCCATGAATAGATGAATGGATAAAGAAATCATGGTACATATACACAATGGAATATTATATAGCAATAAAAAAGAATGAAATCCTGCCATTTGCAACAATATGAATGGAACTGAAGAACATTATGTTATATGCTTAGGTGAGATAAGCCAAGCATAGAAAGACAAATTTCAAATGTTCTCACTCATATGGGAGAGTTAAATGTTAAAAACAATTGATCTCATGGAGACAGGGAGTAGAATGATGGTTAACAGACTGGGAAGGCTAGCGAAGAGGGAGGAATAAAGTGGGGATGGTTAATGGGTGCAAAAATATAGTTAGATAGAATGAATAATATCTGACAGCACAACAGAGTGACTACAGTCAACAATAAGTTATGGTATACTTTCAAATAACTAAAGAGTGAAATTAGAATGCTCCTAACACAAAGAAATAATAAAGGCCCAAGGTGATAGATACCCTGATTATGCTAATTTGATTATTCTCATTGTATATCAAAACATCACACTTGCCCTATAAAGATATACAACTATTATGTGCCCATAATAATTAAAAATTTTAAAAAGAAAAAAAAAAAAAAGCTGGTGAGGCATGGGAGAGAGGAGGGAGGTTAAAAAAAAAGCCAACCCCCCCCAAAAAAGAAAAGAATTAGACTAGACTCCCATTACTGATATAACTGACAAGATGGCAGACCAGGTAACTGACTACTCTTCTAATGAAAGTAACTGGTTTTATTCTGACATCCTTAAAATGCATCAAAGATCTGACAAGAACAAAAAGAATTAACCAAAAAATTAGACAACTGCAATCATGGGATAAACTTAGCATTGAAGTTTTATATTACTCTGAGGGCCTGAAAAACGTGGTAAATTTAAATTTGGATGTCAAGGCCTTGAGGGTCCAAGGTAATGGTAAAGTAGAAATAAACTCTCCAGCCCCATCCCAAAAGAAATGCAAGGAAAAGTACCTTTCAGAAAACTTGGTACATAATGTACATCACACAAGAAAAAAGAGGGAGGGAGAAAACTACAAATACTGATTACTACAACTATGTTAATTATTAAGAAATAGCAAAAATAAATAAATAAATAACTCCAGCATATGTATCTCCATATACTATTCTTAATAGTGTATAATTATTAACTGAAAAAAGTTTCTACCTATTGTATAAAATGATACAAAATAAGAATCTACAATTATATTTGTTTGTATGTACAAAATTAACTCTAAATATAATATAATTATAATGGTTATTGAGGAACTAGACAGATATGGTACAAAAACCAGAAAAAGACTTTTTTTAAACTTTTTCCCCCGAAGAAGACAGAGTCTCACTCTGTTTCTCCCAGGCTGAAATGCGGTGACAATCAAAACCGACTGCAGCCTCAAACTCCTGGGCTCAAGCAACCCTCCAACTTCAGCCTCCCGAGTAGCTAGGAGTACAAATGAGTGCTACTATGCTCAGCTAATTTTTTTACTATTATTATTTTAGTGACACAGGGTCTCCCTATGTTGCCCAGGCTGGTCTTGAACTCCTGGCCTCAAGCAATCCTTCCACCTCAGCCTCCCAGAATGCCTGGAGTATAGGCATGAGCCACCACATATGGTCTATACACCTTTCTTTATTGCCTTGTTTTCTAGGTTCATGAATATGTCGCCTCTTTGAAATAAAAAATTACCTGACAATAAATACAACCAAAAAATAGATTCAACAAAGATTTCTGAACAGAATGAAATAATTGTAATGGAATTATTTTTTAAATATAAATATATGGAAACACTATTTTTCATGTATGAAGGACTAAATATCATAAAGATAGCAATACTCTCTTAATCAATATACAGATTCAGTACAATTCCATACATGCTTTGGAAGACTCAAAATCATAAAGCTACCAGTTCTCAAATTTATCTGCATAATATAGTTTTAAAAAAAAATGATTTATAGAATTGGACAAGCTGATTTGAAAATTTATCCTGACATGCGAGGGGCCAGGAATAGCCAAAGACAGTCATGAAAAAGAAGAACAAAGAAGAGAAATTTGCTGTCCCAGCTATCAATACTAATTATGGAGATAAACAGTTTAAACTACTGATGTTATATAACAATTATGGTAGTTGTCTTAAAGTGATGACTGTCCAGAAAGTCAGCTTATTTTAGATACTAAGGATATCTGGGTTATATAACATTTGAGCAAGTTCTAGAACCAAAACTTAAGAAATATAGTAACAGAATGTCCTTAATTACTTATAACTTACCAGTATTTACAACTCTCAGAGTATCGCATGAAATGACTAAGCCCATAATTTATCATTATCTGTTCAATAATATTCTTAAAAATTAATGGAATAAGTTTTCCCTTGCTGAATTCAGTAGCACTTCCATATCCTAACTTCAGAAATAAAAAGTCAAATCCTGCCATCTCCAATGCATATTAAAAGCTACATTTGCACAACGTAGTGTCTTGTTTAAATTGAAATGGAGCTTTTATACTGATAGAACCAATGGTCTCCTCTTGCCTGATAGAGTCAAAGACGGTAGCAACTTCAAAGACGAGGAGTACTGTGTGGCCTTTCAGTCCACTGGTTTTAAAATATGGCCTACAAAGTGCCTACAGTTTAAAGAAAAAGAGGCAATGGGAAGGAGGGAAGAAGAGAGACAGGGTGAGATAGAAAGAGACAGAAACACTGAGAAATTCTCTGCCCCACAGGTAAAATTTCTAAGTTCCTTAGGCATGCTCTAAGGGGCAAAGTCAAAAACTTTTATAAGACATTATACTTGTCAGCCTGGATATGTCAGACATGTCAAATAGCAATAAAGTTAATCAGACAGTCTCACCTGGGTGGCTACAAGGTAGATCAGCTCCCCAAGGGTTGGTAAAAGGCACTGTTTTAATTTGCTATTCCTGAAGTTTTCCCTAATTAATTCAGTTAAGAGAACAATTGCCTGAAAAAAGAAAAAAGTATATTATTTCAGGTGTATTTCTCAGTTCTTTAACTCTATGTAGAAAGCAAGACATTCCGTAAGACTTATCATTTTTTAAGAACTTAGTTTCCAAATTATTTTCAAAATATGGGCCTTATTCCTGAAGAAAAATACAGTAACTCTCCCAGATAAAGGTTAAGAATATATCCAGTAAAATCAACTTATATACATATAGCACTTTTCAGTTTGCAAAGCATTTTCACTACATCATTGATGCTGTGAGGCAATTGCTGCCCTATCTTGAAAGAAAGAAACAGAGGCTGAGAAAGGTTCCAGAAACTGGCCCCAAGCTTATCCAGCTCACTTAGCCAGGATCTGGACACAGATTTTAACCATGCCACATCCTGGTATGCTCTAGCACACCACAGTTTGAAAAGTTCTTATACTACATTAAACTTTTACATGATTCCTTCAAAACTCTGAGAGTGGGAATGTTACACCAAAGTTTCAGTATAATCCACTTGGAAACTCAGCATATTTTATCAGATCTAGTTAATTTCCTAGGAGCCATGCTAAGAAAATCACATACATGCAACTGCCAGAATGTATACACCAGAACACAGGTGAATCGAGTCATAGCATGACCATGAAGAATGGTTTCAGTATGTCAGAGAGAGTTAAAGAATGGCTCTGCTCTGAGCAGGGGAAAAAAAAAAAATAATAACACAAAACAGTGTGGAAGCATTACTCTAAAACAGTGTGACTCAAAGTGTGGTGCACAGGCAAGCCCATTTTTTACCATTGATAAAGACATGAATTTAAAAACTGAAAGCAAGCATTTAAAAATTTCAAAACAATTTGACAATGCCACAACATCTAAACATGCGATCACAGAGATATCATTTTGTAAACAAGAGTATGGAAAAGTTGAAGATACAGGTGGGGTAGCTGCACAATAGTCACGTACTGAAGGAACACTTGGCTAAATGTATTTTTTTAAAGCTCTGTTGAGTTATAACTGACATGCAACAAACTGTATATACTTAAAGTATACAATTAGATACATCTGGCATATGTATGTGCCTGTGAAATCACCACCACCATCTCTTCAAGGTCCCTTTATAACCCCTCTGTTTCACTCCATTTCTCTTCTCCCCAGCCAGCCACCAATTTACTCTTCTTCATCAGTTTGCATTTTCTAAAGTTTATGTAAATGGGATTATATACTACATCTTTTCTGTTCAGCTTCTTTCACCAGGCATAATGCATCTGAGATTCAGCCATGTGGTTGCATGTCTCAACAGTTTATCCCTCTTTACCGCTGAGTAGTATTCCACTGCATGGATGTACCAAATGTGTAACTCTCAAAACCCAATGCCTTACACGCAATGAATCCTCTAGATCTACGGTCCCCAGCCCTGGGCTGCGGCCTGGTACCAGTCTGTGGCCTGTTAGGAAAACAGGGCAGTGCATCACTGCCTGAGCTCCGCCTCCCCCCACACCACTTCCCTACACCCCCCCTCGCCATCACCCCCATTGGAGCTGGCAAGGTGGGGTAGGGAAGCAGTGTGGGGTGTGGGTGCTCGCCAGCACCCCTGCTTTTTTTACATAAGGGATGATCATCTCAGGCCATGAGCTCATGAAACCACTCCTCTAAAAATGCTGGTGAAATGCCTGGTGTCTTTGAAGATGGTGACATAACACTTAAAATAATGGTTTTTTTCAACACTGTTGCTAGCTACGCCTTGAAAAACCCAGGTGACTGTGCCTAGGCCTAGATTTGTCTGCCAGAACCGTTTCCCCTTCCGAGCTGAGTCATCAATCCAGTCTGGAGATGAGGGTGAAAAGTGGGTGAAAAGACGAGGGTGAAAGTCTAAAGACTGAAGCAGGATCCCCACTTTTCACCTGTCTCGTGCATGCGGGCTTCTCATCTCTCAGGGTAACCAGCTGGCGGGAAGGACTGACCCAGGACCTGCACTTCCCACCTCTCACAGAGGCCAGCTCCAAAAAATTATTCGTGAAAGGGTGGTGAAAGGGGCTACAGTTCTTGAAGTAATGTTGATGGATGGCGAGATAATTCTTTAAAGAATGGTTATTTTAAAGGCTCTAGGACCGACTTCTCCGAAATATCCCCTTAGCTAGGCATCCACACAGAAATCTCCATGAGAATCATCTCAGGCCGTGAGCTCATGAAACCACCAAAAATGCTGGTGAAATGCCTGGTGTCTTTGAAGATGGTGAAATAATGGGGGAAATAACACTTAAAATAATGGTTTTAAGTTATGGGCACCCCCCCCCAATCCCGTGTCCATGGAAAAATTGTCTTCCATGAAACCAGTCCCTGCTGCCAAAAAGGTTGGGGACCACTGCTCTAGATGAAGTGGTTAAGGAGGAAAAAGCAATCATGTAGCATTAGCCTTTGCAACAGGTCACTTCAGTGCAGTCTCCTCCTCCTCTGACCTTTACTGATCATCCACTAGTACTACTTTGAATCATCCGAAATTCTAATATTCAGCAATTTTTTTTTACCTATTAAAAACAACAAATTGTCTCCAACACACTACCCTAAAAGAATGCCTAAAGTACATATTCAAAAGAGAAAAGATACGATAAAAGAAGAAACTTTGGCATATCAGACAGGAAGAATACAGTAGGAAAAAAATGCAGGTAAATACAATAAGCTTTCCTTCTCCTATTAAGTTTTCTAAATTATGCTTAAAGGTCGAAGCAAAAACTATAAAAATTAAATGTAAATGCTCTAAATACAACAATTAAAAAAACAGATTGGCACAGTGGAAGAAAAAATTATGACTCAACTATAGACTGTCTATAAGAAACATCAAATACAGTGATAGGTTGAAAATAAAAAAAATGGAAAATATCCCATATATATAACTAATTATGAATTAAAAATAAATTTTGTTATGAAAAAAGACATAAAAAATATCATAAAACAGTAATCAAAGGAAAATAGGAATGATTGTATTAATATGACTAAAGTTGACTTCAAAGCAAAGAAAATTCCCAGAGACCAACAGAAACATTATATAATATTAATAATAAAAGGGCCAGTTGTTGTGGCTCATGCCTGTAATCCTAGCACTCTGGGAGGCCAAGGCAGGCAGATCGATTGAGCTCAGGAGTTCGAGACCAGCCTGAGCAAGAGTGAGACCTAGTCTCTACTCAAAAAACTAGAAGGACACTTGACCATATGTGGTTTTGCTTAAAAAAAAAAAAAAAAAAAAAAAAAAAAAGCGTAGAAAACAATAATAATAAAAATAAATTTAAAAAAAATAGAAGAAAATTACCTGGACAACTAAAAATATACATATAAAAAAAAAATTAGCCGGGCAGGGTGGTGCATGCCTGTAGTCCCAGCTACTCGGGAGGCTGAGACAGGAGGATCGCTTGAGCCCAGGAGTTAGAGGTTGCTGTGAGCTAGGCTGACGTCACGTCACACACTCTAGCCAGGGCAACAGAGTGAGACTCTGTCTCTGAATGAATGAATAGATGAAAAAATGAATACATAAATGAATGAATGCATGAATGAATACATGAATAAAAGAATGAATGAGTGAATGAATAAATGAATGAATAAATAAATAAATGATCAATCCACAAAGAAAAAACACTAAACCTAAATGAGTATCACCAAACAAAAGACCTGCAAAATATGTGAAGCAAAAACCAACAGAACTGGAAGGAGAAACAGACAAATACACAATTACAGGTATGAACTTCAACACCTCTCTCTCAGGCACAGAAAGGCAAATATTGCATGATCTCCATTATACATGAAATCTTAAGATATCAAATGTATAGTCATACAGAGTAGAATGACAGTTACGAGAGGCTGGGGTTGAGGTGAAGAACTAGGAGATGTTGATCAAAGGGTACAAAGTTTCAGTTAGATAGGAAGAACAAGTTTTCAAGATCTAGTATACAACATGGTGATCACAGTTAATAATAATATATATTTCACAACTGCCAAAACAGTAGGTTTTACATGTTCTCAATACAAACAAAAATTAAGTATGTGAGGTAATAGAAAAGTTAATTAGCTTGATACAATCATTGTATACAATGTATACAATGTATACAATCATAATGTATACATATATGAAAACATCACACTGTACCCCATAAATACATAGTTATTTGCCAATTAAAAATTTAAATTTTTTTCTGAATTTAAAAAATAAACAATTGATAAAAATTGCACAGAAAATGAGTATCAAAATAATAATAAAGGGAATATTATGAACAACTCTATGCATATAAATTTTTCCACTTACACAATGAAGCAACTCCTCAAAAAATACAAACTATCACAACTTGCCCAATACAAAATAATTGTTTACAAATGATATGATTGTCTACATAGTCCCAAGCAATCTAGAGGAAAAAACTCCTAGAAAGTGAGTGGGTTTGGCAAGATCAAGGGATACAATATCACTATTCCAAAAGCAACTATATTTCTATGTATTAGAAATGAACACATGGAAACTGAAATTTAAAACACCATTTGCAATCACTAAAAAAATTTAAATACTCGGGTATAAATCTAACAAAACACATATAGAATTTGTATGTTGAAACTACACAATACTGTTTAAAGAATCAATGATCTAAATAAATGGAGTGATATACCATGTACATAGATAGGAAGACTCAACATAGTGAAGAAAGCAATTCTCCCTAAATTGAAAGACAAGTTTTACAATTCCTCTCAAAATCCTGGCATAATTCTTTACAGATATCAACAAGATTACTCTAAAATTTACATGGAAAGTCAAAAGAATTAAAACAGCCAAAACAATTTTGAAAAAAAAAAAGAATAAAGTGGTTGGAATTATTTTACTGGTTTCAAAACGTATATAACCACATGAATGAAGACTGTTTCACATTAACAGGATACATGGATCAATGGAACCAAATAAAGAATCGAGAAGAGCTCCACCAACCATAGCCAGCTGATTTATTTTTATTTCAGCATATTATGAGGGTACAAATGTTTAGGT